TTTATCTATAGAAGTATAAGCATAAATACTCCATACCTGTAAAAAGAACATAATTATTGTACTTACCAGGCGTCTCAACAGCCTTTTTACTAATGTGACACTACGCACGTTTGTTGACAACAAAACTTAAGCTCTCACGCTGAAACTAATATAAGCAATATTACTTCCTGGTATAATATATGTACTGAATAACTTCATAGCTTTATTTGTGTGCTCATAAAATTCGATTCAGGTGCTGAGGCGTCTCGGGGTACAACTAAAGCCAGCTAATGACGACGTGTGACGGGACTCAATCGTTCACTTCTGTGTGGGATGGTCCGACTTCGCAACTTACACTAAAAATCGTTATTATCTTAATTTTCAGCATTTTCCACTTAGTCACCCATGTGTGATATACAGGGTATCTCACATCATCACCCAGGTGTTCTATATCTCATATCGCGAAAAATTTAAAACATGAATTTATTAGGATAATAGTAACAATTCCCTTTTTTTGCTTCATAAGAGAATTTAAAAAGGAGAAACGAATGTGGATAATAATAGTACATAACGGTATATTTTATAAATGACACCCCATTATACATTAAAATTCACTTAAAACTTAAAATACAATACTATATCATAGTTTAAGAAATTATACCAGATTGCTTAATATTAAAATCAAAACTACTAGAATAATTATACGAAATTCATAGCATTAAACATTAAAACTTGTAAACGCGAATTTAAAACTGTCTTTAAAACTAATGCTCAGCTTTGGGTTAACTTTTTATATCTCATTCCGGCAATAACATGCTAACTGAAATGGAGTTCGAAGAGCCCGAGTGACACGCACTAAAGAAGGAAAGAGCTAAAAAGCGATGGACTGGTCACATGATTGACGAGACCACTAGGCACCAGCTGGAGCTTGGATAGCTTGGAAGGGAAGTTAAAGGAGTCATCTAGAGAGGAGAGAACCCGCCACTGAACCCTACTGGAGAAATAAGATTTATGAAGATATCAATTATGAAATATAACATGATTTATGTTAGGACAAAGCACCGGTGTGTAAAACAGAAAAAAATCCCCTCTTTGCATGACCGAATTTCGACAAAATATATAAGAATCAACGGTCACTCATCTTGTAAAACGACATGACAAAGAACACAGATATTCCCTGGTTCCAGTAAGTTAAATACGGACAAGTTTAGATCATAGACATTCAACCCACTCAATAAATCTACACCTGTGTCGGCAGATTCGTGTTTCACTTCCGGGTACAAAGCGACCTATGCATAACGATGGTATTTTCTGTACCAAGTAGGCCTATTTATACATTTAACTATTTTAATGTTAAAACAATCTCCAACAAACTTAAGCTACTCAATCCACTTACCAGTGAATTCGTGGAAAAAACAACACGTTTGACCTGATAATGTGCCAACTTCTACTAAGTACAAAGCTGTTTCACCTAGCTGTCCTCCCGGGCGATCACATCACGTGGCATGAAAAAATATGGGACAAAACAACACGGATATAAAGGTAAAGGTAAAGGTTGTCCGACTTCACAATGTATGCCTGGTCTTTCTGGATCTATTCGATCAAGTAACCAAGACCTACCCTGTACTTGGATAAGCAACATCAGAGGGTGGTCATTAACATCGGTCAACAACTGGGCAGAAACACCACGTGGCTGAAGGGATTGGGGTTCAATCTTCGTCCACTTTTGAACCAAGCACGGAACCTGATTGATTGATTGATTGATATCTGGATCAAGTGTTCAGTCTTTTAACCCCTGCATTACCCCCTATATTTAGACAGTTTATCGAGGAAACTTTGGGGACCTTTATAATAAATAAACCACCCTTACCCTGCAGGCATATCCCCTTTGGGTAATTTTCCTAATATAAAGACAGTGTCTGTACCAACAATCCCTAAAATATTGATGTTCTCTAGAATAATACTAGAACGAATTCCTCAAGATAAGATTGCACTGCAGCCATTAACTGTGTATATGCAGCTACTTTTCTTTGTTGATGTATTTGCCAATCGGTTGTGACCAACCAAATTATACAACTATAGCAATGTGAATGGAAACGAGTGCAACAGCTGTTTTCAGTTATGACTTATTGATCAGGGCCCGAATTTCTTCAACACTGGACTCAACTACCGGAAAGAAAGTCTGGGACCCGTTATTTCAGAAACCAGGGGTCCTACGGACCCCTGGTTTCTGAAAAAATGGGTCCCGGACCTTGTATCATGGTAATTGGATATAATATACAGGGTCCCCCGGACCCTGCATTTAACCGGACCCTACGTTTCATGACAGCTATCACGAAACACAGAGTCCGCCCGCCATACAGAAGAACTGGGTCTAAAAGCTAGGGTCCTACTGTAGAACAGTATATATTTAGTAAAAGCGCTTTATATTGACAATCTGGGTATAATAGAATTATAATAAAGCAAACCCTTGATGCAAGTAAATATAATATAACAAAACGGCGGTGGTTTGCACAACGACCTGGTGGTGTAGTGGACAGCGACACTGGTGATGAATCTACTATGGTATCCAATGACAGGGAAGTATGTAGTAATTTAACAATATGTTGGTTCGGGTCCCACACTGGAGTTCACTTTAAGACGCCTCTATTTTCAATCTTGTTTTTTTTTTTTAATTTATAGTTAAATATTCAAATTACTGTCCATTTATTGTGTTTCATTCCGTAATAATATGTTTTATACTCACTTTTTATTACATTTCATACCTTTTTTTAATTGGACTTACTTAAAATATATTTCACACACATCCCATTGCATTGTAATGCTTAAGACTATATATACACGTGACTTATTTGAATACCACTCGTACATGTGTGTAAGCAAGTGGTACACAATGAATCGATGCTAAACTGTGCGAAACGTTTCTTTTCTCTAGACTATACGCGTAACTTAGGCTACAATGACTACGATTCATAAATGTGTGACAGCTAGCGTTATACAGTGCATCAATGCCAAATTGTGCAAAATATGTATTTTCTGGAAACTGACGACATTAATTAGTTATTAAATATACATGCTTATGTAGTGTAATTGAAAATGTACTCATTTAATTTTGTTTAACATTATATATAAAGTTTTAATTTAAGTTGCATACCCTAAATTAAAATGGAATCAACCCAAAAGGAATGTATTCCATGTTTCTCAATAACATTAGAAATCTTAATTAAAGTTTTTTCCATTGTGTATTATATGGACAACAATAAAGCAAGATTGTATCAACAAGAAAGGATTTGATATCTACATGTACTTAAAATATATATTTATAATGTGAAACTATGGATTATATTTTTCTCATTTTAGACGAAGCACTGGCACAGATGTTTTATCAAGTTTGCATGATGATGGAAATGCGGGTGACAACGGACAATTAGGAGAAAAAACAATTACTATACTGATTAATAATTTTTTGTAAAATCATGAAGTTCACCAAAGGCACTTATGTATTCTGAATAAATTTATATTTCTTGAGTGATGTTCTTTCTCAATTGCATACAAAAGATAATCCTGCAAATTAAAGTTTATGAAATGCGAACAATGCACATTTATACTACGCGTTACACTCTAACAGAGTTTAATAATGTTTTTTTTACCTTTAATTCTTATAATTCTTCCCTCCATATCAGTTAACATCATGTTCAATTTCATTTTTAAATTGCAAGTTTTAAGTGTGAGATTTCATTATTGCTCTTCAATGCGGACTTTCAGTATTAAAACGTAGGGTCCTAGGACTTTCCGTACTGAAATAGAGTGTCTAGGGGGACTCTACATTTCAGAACATAGAGTCCGGGACCCGTTATTTCGAGACAGGGAGTCCGCCGGACTCTCAGTTTTAAAACACCGGGTCCGCCGGACCCTAGAATGGTAGGACTCTGTGTTGCTTGACACCGGTGTGGGCCCAGCATATTTTATTTTCGTAGAGTTGGGGTTAGAGATAAGGCCTTAGATCTTTTACGATCCTATCTTGTTGGGAGAATGCATCAAGTGAATATAAATGGTGTGCTTTCTGAACTCTCACAGCTTTTATTTGGTGTTCCTCAGGGGAGCGTGCTTGGCCCGCTTAAGTTTTGTGTTTACACCTTACCCCTTGGAGCAATTCTGCGTTATCATAAGATAGGTTACCACTTTTATGCCGATGATACCCAGTTGTACACATCTTGTAACATCCATGATCCAGCATTGTCTGTGAACACAATTGTTGATTGCATATCAGACCTCAGAGGTTGGCTCATTTCAAACAAATTGAAGATAAATGATGGAAAAACAGAATTTTTAGTCATTACTCAACCCCACAACAAGGGCCTTGCTCATAACTTGCAACTTAAAATTGGAGCTAGTATGGCATTTTCCTCCCCCCATGTAAAAAATTTAGGAGTATACTTTGATTCTACACTTTCAATGGACAAACAGATCTCCAACATCACAAGGTCTTGTTTATTCAACATTCGGAATATTGGTACCATAAGGAAACATCTGAATCAATCTGCTGCTGCTACTGTTATACACTCATTGGTAACTTCCAGGCTAGACTATTGCAATTCTATATTATATGGATGTCCAGATGATAAGATCAAAAGATTACAACGCATCCAGAATATATCAGCACGGCTTTTAATGCTACAGCCTAGGNGGGGGTGGGGGTGGGGGGCGGCTCAAGGTTTCGTCTGCGTCGCTCTCCACAGCTTGGAGATTAATTTCATATGCGTTATTTCTGTTGTAACTCCTTGGTTTGACATTTATTCATAATCATAAGACAGCTCTTGAGTTTTCCATCATAATTAATCAGTTAAGTTATTTAAGTAGCCGTCGGCCCTGTGAAGTTTATAACAGGCGAAAGGAGGGTGTGGGATTAAAAGCCCACGCACATGAACTTATTTTCCAAGAACAAATCTGAAATAAATTATAGGGAAAAAATAAGGGACTAACATGAAGATTTTAATCTGCTTGATTTATTTATTTTCCAGATGTCGGTCACTTCTACAGATCACACGAAGGACGTAGCTTCCGACGTCATTATTCGACCTGCCAAACTGGAAGACCTTGATGAATTGTACGAATTTACCGATAAAGTCGACTGGCGTGTGTCAAAAGAAACTGTGAAATTATTTCTTGAAATTGTGGAAGACGGTCACTACCTAGTTGCTGATCTCCATGGCAAGATTATTGGTCAGGACAAATCGAGTTTTTCTTTGTTGATCACTTGATTTCTTACTAAGTGTGTGTGTGAGTGTGTGTGTGTGTGTGTGAAAGAGAGACAGAGAGAGAGAGAGAGAAGAACAAGACCATATCAAGGAAGATTAAATTGTCTTTGGAACTCTTGAGATTTAAAATAACATTTACACCACGTTTACAGTTGCTATAACTGACAATTAACTGTGTTATTTCTTTCACATGCACCCATTTTATAAATTTTCGCTGAAATAACGGTGTTAGAGAAATAGGATGAGAATAAGTGAAAAGTAAAAAAAGTGTTCGACTGATAGGGGCCTATTTCGAGAACAGTATATGACGTCGCCCCATATGTTTAACGGGACTGTTGGCAAAATGCAGGCTGGGAAAAAAGAAAACGTATTTTACAGCTCGCCGAGCTGCTCTTCTCCCCATGAAAGAACATAAAATATTATACTAGGCGTCGGCAGTAAAGGCGCTTATCTCTTTATCTGTACAAGTGACGGTTCTCAAGGACCCAGTGTTTCAAGTGGTTCGATAAGAAGGGAAAATGAAAAGATAAACGGTGCCGGTTTCAAAAAGACATTGGCAAATGAAACGTGCACCGATTCAACAAGTAAAGACAGCTGTGTAGCTGACGGTAGCGGGGAATCCGCTTTAAAAAGGGTGTCTGCGTTTAAAGGTGTTTTATAGGGAAATTTTTGCCTAAAATTTAGTTTTTCTATCAAATTCCTGCACTCCCTTCAAATATGGGCACATCTCGCATATATTCTGCTTTTTGGCAATAAAATGTAAGCATAAGTTTCGGATTTGTGAGTCTCGGTGTGTGTTCGTCTAGAAATAGTCCTACGCCCGAGACAAATTACAACTGACGTTTTACAAGACATGAAGAAAAAAAAATCGGGTTATCATGACATTTCTCTTACATGTAGAGAATAAAGAGCAGGGGCCATTGTCAGAACGTATGTCCACAGATTTAGGCCTGAACCTAACTGTAAGTCAGAATTTATACAAAGTTTGATCCAGCCACCCAAAATCATAACATTATTCTGCGTATTTTATTTCAGGTTCAAGATTAGTTATTATACTGGATGATAAGAACGCCATGTTCGACTTCTTCATAGTAGACCCAAAGTACAGAGGCTCTGGTGTTGGTACGTGACTTCTTTTGTCTTAGGCTCTTTTCTTGTGCTTGTATAAATTTAGCTATTAAGTACCCATGCACGCAATACAGTATGGGTATATAACCTCTTTAAATCATCGCTTTGATTCAACTGTATAATATTACGCAGTGTTCTGTCTCATATTGCTATTTTTTTTCATTTTTTTTCTTTCATGTTAGTAAGCGCAACAGTTTACGCGCATATGTGGGCACATTCTTTAGTTGTAAAGCCTTATTTTATACAAAAAATGTTTCATTTTATCGTCATTAACTCACGCTTGTTTTTCAGTCGTGTTTCCAAAATAACAGAGAGAGGTTTTGAATTTAACATGAAAACATTCAAGGGATAATAACTTTTCATACGTAATTAAAAATTCCAAAATACATATATACTGTAAACAACACATAGTTCTAAATGCAATTAATTCCTCTAAACAGCCAAAACTGCGGTTATCGTAATTATTCTGCATTCTGTGCTTGCTATCGGATCACGTGGAACTTCACAGACGGCAACTCTCCGCAGCAATCTCTTAAGAAATCATAACAAATAGCTCTGTTTAAAAAACAATTGACTAACTTGGAATGTAGAAACAGATTCATTAACCATTGGAAAGTATGGGAAATCGTCGTTTACCCCAGGAAAATCCGTTTTATCGCACTTTTCTAGCTAGCCAAAATGATAAGTTGTTATCCCGATATGTAAGCAATATTCGATATCATTAATAACTTTTGCCAATTCCAGCGAAGAAAATTGCAGCAAGAACCATGGAAATTGCCGGCGACAGAAACGTCATGATTTGGTCTGTGTCCTACCGAATACAGCAGAACTTAAAAACCGGCATGAAAATTGGTGGAGGGCGCTTACATTTGTGCGAAGGTCGTTTTGATATTGATACCTTAAGAATTGATACCACACTAAATGATTCAGCGATAAAAGTTGTCCCAACAAATGAGGTTGACTTTGAAGCTCTGCTCGCCTACGACACCTCCATCATTGTGTTTCAAAGGGAAAAGTTCTTGAAAGCGTGGCTGGCAAAACCGTCTGCCGTTTCATTCGCGGCATTAACAGATGGCGGTGAGGTCGTGGGTTATGGTCAGGTGCAAGATGCGCCGCGTTCGAAAGTCATATCTCCGCTTTACGCCGATAATCCAGCAGCATTTAAGCTTCTTCTAAAAGCTCTTCTAGAATCCATTCCAACAGAATATAGTGTATATATGGTTATCAACGTGGATTATGGCACCGGAATGGAAGTGATAAACAGAAACAAGGGAACTGTTAAAGTTTTTCCTGAAGAACCCGGGGTATTCATGTATACCAAAAGAAATTTGGAGATGCCTAAATTTGGAAGTGTCTTTGCAGTAGCTTGCGTTTGTGCCTTTCCCGCGTGATTGGCTTAAAATCAATTTATTGATAAATGGTACTTCTTTATCTCCTGTGTACACATTTAGAAAAAGGTATTACTTTTCCTATTCTGATCCGGTGCATGAAGATGAACAAGGCGGAACAAATAGAACCTAAATGGAAATTTGCCTCGCTTTGCAAATGTAAGAGGTATAAGAAGATAGACTTGCTTTGCCCCATCGCGGGTATCAATATTGGCTACACGACGATTAAATGTTGCGCATTACGACGAAAAATAGTTGCACAAACATAGCAGCTAGTCCTACGGATACGTGCCTGCCGTAACGTACTCTTTCAAGACTGTATTTTCAAGTAGAACACCGATTCATTTTCCATTGAGAATATAAAACTGACTCATACTAGAGAACATACACAAGAAGCATTTAGTGATTTTAGCTATCAATATCTCTTGTTTTAGGATCAAATTTAATTTTATGCAATATCAAAGATTTGATTTTTAAAAAAATTTTACTTTATCAACTCTCAAAGGGCCACGTACCTTCTTCAAATAAAACATTATTATTATTATTATTATTATTATTATTATTATTATTATCGCCGCTTGTGTACCATGTCAAAATCCGACACGAAAATTATGTTTTTTTAGACCATTTTAAAATTCAATATTCCTATTCTTTTACGTCTTTGACCGGAAAGTTGAGATACTCTTTTTTATCTGCTCCTTACCCAAGTCAATATTGGGTACAAAGCGGAAACATTCCTGATTTTCATTTTTACTTCCTGGCAGTATGATGATGTTTTCAAGCACAACTACCAGCATTGATGATAAATAACATTGTAAAAAGCTTGGTCAACACTTGAAGTAACATGTAAAAATAATTAACATATCCCGTAAAATGTCAGTGTATGATCCCACTGTTGTGAGAAGTGACTCCAGTGGGACTGAACATGGCACAATATTTATATCTGTGTAACTTATTTACCTATCTATGTCTTATGTAATTGTCATTAATTGTAATTATCTATGTCATCAAACTGTAAACAGCTATGTAACTGTAGTTCTCCCTCCCTTTAAGTTTGAACATATCCTTTTGTGTAACATATGCTTGTACCCATATGTTTATAGTATGTTTATGGTAAATTTATAATCACACCAAGGTTTATCTCACTGATTATTTAGAATATTTTATGAGTAATTTTACTAGTACATATGTTCATTATATAAAAATTATTTTTTTCATTCACAAACGGCTAGGCAACATAATTACCAACTAGAGAAATGGTAATGCACCAATTATATTGTATCGTCATTAGTATATCATTTTGTACAAGGTTATGACAATCTATGTACCAGTACAGAAATAGATTGAAAAAAATTGAAAATTGTAAAAATAATTGCTATTAGAAAATGTTTTATAATTCACAAACTGTCGTTTTGATATATCTTTAAACAGGACGCTTTAATATGTTTAAATGTAGCTATATACACGAGACAGGATCTCTTACGAACATATAGTGCATATAGTACAATTTGTGAGTCATATAAGTACGATTTTTGTCTCTTAGTAGGCCTACATTCCGTTTCGTAAATATTAATTTTTACCAACTAGCATTTATAAGTGTTTTAGCCTGCTTTGAACAGTGATTCAAATGTTTGAACATCGGTATTGTCTGCAATTGCCCACAAAAGGAAAAGATCAATGAACTCTTGTGCATCTAAGGATTAAATAATGGCCCGTTTACTACGGCGATGATTTCTAAACGGCGCCCAAAGCTAAAATGTCCGGTGTTGTATATTTAACCGTATGAATCAATTGTCTTTAAATTATCTTCTTCCTAAACTCCTGGTGTCGGATTTAAAATCAATAGGGCGCGGACGGTTTATCTATTTAGTCTATTAAGTAGATGCATTTGTGGATTTGTTGCGTGGATAGAGTAACAATGCTCGTGGATTACGACAGGTGCCCTCGGCAACATTACTACATGCTCGGGGGGAGGGGGGGGGGTTTGGGGGAGTCAACCACGACGTTTCGGTCCACCGCTTATGCCCGTTGGCCACGTGAATGGTAATTTCGCGCGGAATCCGACGCCTAGGAAACAAGACGCTGTGATGAAAATATCATTGACTAATGTTATTTAGTCTCTAAGTAAAGAATAATTCAATTTTGACAAATGCAGTGGCGGATTTAGAGGAAGGTCAAGGGGTTCCTGACTGCCCTTCGATTTCTGGTACCCTCTTGAAATTAGAATTTTGACTAGCTGAATCATAGATCTAAACCGTACCAAATGGCACTGTTTGCCCTAAATACCAAAATCTTTCAGGGCTCTTCAGCCGGCCCCGAACCCCACGCCAAGTGAGGGGAAGGGAGTGCATTGCACCCGCAGATCCCCCCTCCCCTTCAAATGATCTTGGATCCGCCCCTGAAATGGACGGGCGATCCAACAAATACCTCGCAGCTGAATCACAGTGACAATTGACACTGATTTGTATGGTGCAATTACCGGTCAAATGTCCGTGTGCCTGCTCGGACAAAGCCTCTGCTGGGGATTTCTATGCCTAATGCCCTGGGCAATTGTATGGTCAGTCGGAACAACACTGAAGCGTTTCAGATAACGATTCGCAAGCATAATTGTCTGTCAGAGAGGTTTCCATCAGTGCGAAGCGTGACAAGGCGTGACTACAAGTGGTTACATAAATACACTGGAGTCAAATCGATGTTACACTATTTTGCTGCATAAAATTTAGATGCATTTAGTCATACTTTACAGGCAAATCTGACTTCCTGAGATAGCCGAGCGATTACTTATTCGGTCTATTCACATTGATAATAAGGAATTTAGCGACTGAATTGTTTAGTGCGGTTAGACGGAATAACAAATTAAAACGGCGTAGGCATAAATCGCGCCCGAAAAAAATCAAAATTATTACCTCCTTGTTTTAGTACTTTGCGACCGTGCTTTTTAATAATCAGCGATGTCTAATGATTCGAAAAATAGTTGCTTGATGGTGGTGGGGGGAGGGGGGGGGGGGCGAGAGGAGTTCAGACAAAGTGTTACGTAACCACATTTGATTAATCGATTTGTGTGTATGGTTAGGTATTCTAGACTGAAAAACGATCCGGGTATGTCTGAACTTTCACCACACTTAATACTAACTGATTACGGCATAATTCTATATGCAAATGGCTCGGCATGGCCGTTGACGTTATAGACTATATGTTGCAGACTCGATGCATAAAAAAGTGTGGCATTATTTTCATAAAAATGATTTAGATACATTACAAGACTAGATCGAGGGAAGATTCTCAGTGTTACGTGCTCGTTGGGATATTTTGTAAACAGGATTTATACCTCTTTCAATTTAAGGGATACGTTTTGTGGTCCGTTTAGCGTAGAATATATCTTAAAACGTTCTTCACAAACGTGGGTGACATATTCAGGATAGCAGTTATTCATGCGAAAAAGAAGCGACTACTAATTCAACGGAAGCCGGGTCTTCTAATGTTTTTTAAATAATATTAGTTGCCGTTTTCATTGGCAAATCTCTGCGTTCTTGGAGTCTTCTCTAGCTCCCACTGAAATAGCGTTTGTCGCGTGAGGAATTCAATTACTTTTCAGTGCCTTTTTTTAAACTAGACAACGGTGGATCGGCAAGGGCAGAGCGATATTAACAGAGTTTGAGAGGTTTAAAAAAACGCAATTCGTGGACCAACACTAAACGGATTTCAGAGCTAAGGTATGGTGTGCAGTATTCTTGGCATATCATCTTGAACCTCCGCAACTGACAATACATCGTATCAGTAGAGGGAAGATGAGGATAGATAAATGGTTTATTTAAGTGGCCTAGCTTCCCTGAAGTTTAAAGGTAAGTTTTAAATTCAAAACAATTAACGGTGTTATGTTACAAATATTTTAAAAACATTTTATGCGCCGACACGCAAACGTGCGTGCGCTCGAGCGCAAGGAATGATTTTTGGAGAGATCGTGTTATGGGATTGGTGCAAATTTTTTATCCACCAAATATTCTCTCTTTATATGTAAACGCACGTGTGCGGAAAAAGACTTAATCAGCAGCTGTACTAACAGATTACAAGTGGAATTCACTGGCAATTTTTTCCGGTATAGCTCATTTGGACTAAAATCTTTTTTATCAAGCGATTACAGAAGATTAGCTAAAATGTTCCTGTACCACAATCAATACCATAAAGTAGTATGAAGTGTTACTGTATTGCTTTATAATGGATCTTATTTGTGTTATTGAAATGTAAAGCAGGATGAGTGTTTTGCCCAAGCATATTTTTCAAGCATGGATCCAGGAATTCGATTACAAAAGCGTAACAGAGCCAGCTGCTAGAATTCCAAAAACATACACTTATCGGGACTCATTATTAGTTTTTAAGCAACGTGAAGCTACACTTAAGCCTAAAACTTCGTAGGAACAGGGTATAATACAGTATAACAATTTGCTTAGTCCCTTTGTTATGTAATCGGCATTTTCAACATTTCACAAATTAAAAGACACTCGTTATTTTCCACAGAAGTCAAGTGAAGGATATAAGGACTAGTATATGGGTATATATGGACTGGAAAGGCGAAGGCACCAAATAATATGGAAAAGATGACAGGTAAGGAACACTTTGTATGCCCTTAATATTCCACCAGGTTAGCCTTACATGTAGAACTAATTATGTGATAGATAGGCTAACCGTTTTTAGTGACATTTATTAATTATTTGACTTTTTACGATATCGAAAAATAAATTTTGCGTATAACATTGGTTTTGAATAGGCTTATTTCTAAATCTCTCGTTATGTCTTACTTGTGACCGTGTATAATTTCCTCTTTAGGTATCTTTTTTGTGTTGTTAATTCTGCTAAACATTTACGTATTTTAGACTCTTAATAAGTATATTGTAATATAAAATGTATATTTCATTTCCTTGACATAGTGACCCCGTTACGGTTTAAGGAGCGAAACTTAACAAAACATGGCGGTTCCCCAACCCTTTGTACCACATGTTATTATTCCAGTGGATTGCTTTATAAATAAAATGATGTCGACCAAATTGAAAGGGGGGGGGGGCATCCTTGTGCTTCTTCCTAAGCGAAATTTTGCATCCGCCAGCGTTATGCGCCATGATGAGACGGGCCTTCACCCCGATCTGTTACCCAAAATGTCAAAATGACCCCGCTCTGCAATTTTAAATGTTCAAACACTGAGAGCATTTTCCAGCTCAAAATTAGTTGATGGTTGCAGTAACACTTTATATATTAATATATTAAATCATAAAAGAGGAAAGAGAAATTATCTTGTAGTTCACAACTAGTTTGTGACTGAAACAGTCTGTCGACGCGAGTATCTTTCATCATCGAAATGTAGCTTCCACTAGAACAGCTATTTCGATTGAAAGAGGTCGGTTTAACCAAGTAGCTCTTACTCCTTAGTTTAACAAGTAAAAATAAATAATCAGCTGCGACTGCAATTCTGCAGCTGAAATACCTTTTACTACCCTATACTGAAAAATCTAACAAAAAGAATCCATGTTCCAATAAAATTAACAGTCATTCTTTTTCACCTTTGTTTATTTATTCTGTCTCCAGTAGTCATGGCACAATTCGGAGTACTACACAAATACCCCAACCACGCATTCAACAAATAGCAATGCAGGCTTCGATCTCTTATATTTAATAGGAATAACTTTATAACTGAACTTCCTGTTATCATTAAATTATGTAATACATATACGTTCATAGAGGTCAAGTTGACCCGGTCAAGAACCGTGTACAGATTGGAAAAGTCCAACTCTTATGTGGGAAAGGATAATTCTTGGTACTGTAGTTCTTCGTCCTGGATGTTTCTAGAGTGCACAAATATACGTTTTGTCTTAGATTATAGACACACCAGTTGCCCGGACCTTTTTAAATCT